CCCCTTTTGGGTAATTTCTTGATTCTTTGTGTTGTGTGTTGATCGGTAGGTGATTGATCTTTGTGCACTTAGTAGCTGTTCAAGGTTTTGGAGAAAGCTATGTGGTTCTGATATCTTATGGGAACCTCTGTTTAGAGAAAGATGGCCCTTATTGGTCACATTTGATTTTGATGGGGACAATACTCATTTTCCTGATGCACAAATCGCAGGAACCGATGAAAATCCTCAGGTAGAAAATGAGCATTTCGATAGATTTCTTGTCTCGAATTGTTTTAGAATTTTTGGCCATTTTGAAGTCTGTTTGTTGTTTAAGTGAATTCTGTGTTTGATGTTTGTTTGTGACCTGGATAAATTGGAGCTTGTAATAATAATACATCGTCGATTGTGTTATTGTGCAAGTGCAGTCATTAGATTAATGTGTTTGACTGTGATGGTGAAACTCAATTGTTCATTCTTTGCTAAAGAAATTACTGAGATATAAGGACATTTCTATATAACCTGTTTCATTTATGGATACCTATATGAGATTTACGAGAGCTTGAGAGTTTTGTGTGAAGAGGTAAAAGATTGCATTGGAAAAGTTTTTCTTATGATTGTTTATAGCTCAGGAAAATGGAACTTACAAGGTAGACATTGTTAGTTTATAATTTGTTTTTATTGCCTCTGTTGCGACATGAGACCGAAATTCTATGTAAGATCGATTGAGATGAGATCTGTATTATGTTTTTGTGATCAGTCTATATTCTTAACTATTTTTGTAGGAATGGAGAAGATTTTACGTGATGCAGCACAAGGAAATGGCATCTAGAGCTTCCAAGGTGATTACAGATTTCACCCAATGGCCTGCTACGTTGTCTCTAGAGGCCGGTGAATATCTACACATGGTTGAAACCATGAGGTCGATGCGGTTAGGATTTCAAGATGTAGAGTCATTTCTCTTCAAACCAAACTTGAGTGTGCTGCTCAACCTTATTGGACTCATCTACTGCATACAACACCTGAAACCTCTGGTTAGTTGTTCTATGATTATATATAGTATATGTTCATAAATAGAATTTCAATCTATTTGGTTTTTATGTGTGTGTTTCTAATACTAAATCAATCGTTTGATAAACAAAATTTGGTACGACTTCAATTTTAATCAATTCGTTTTGCGCTTTACAAAATGGAATGTCGTGCAGACCGGTCTGGCCCATCGTAACATCCCTATCTTTTGCTTTTTCCAACTTCTTTAACATATTCTCCATTTTTTTCGACAGCGGGAGCAAATCTTGGATGCGCTAAGGCGATGTGGAATATCAGAGCAGCTAGTTTGGGTGAAATGGTTGACGTTAGGTCGATGGTCACAAGGCAGACGAACGAGAGATGAAACCGTTTCGCGTCAGGTTTCTCTAGTCAATATTGTAATAGGGAAAGAAGAAGCGGTTCTACGAGTGCTTCAACGAGGAGTTGTTCACGAAGTTCTTCGTGTATGTATCTCAACCGTTGATCTTGCTTATACACCTTGTAGCAGTAGCTCCATCAGAAACTATTAATCCCGTTTAGATGGAGCCTCCTTCTTCTGCTTTTGACTTCTGCAGATTTGAATTTTCTATAACATAATGGTCACACATTTCGCCAAAAAACAGTTAGTTTAAAGTGGCAATATATATGTAATTATGATTTGAACCTTCAAAGTTACGTGACTGAAGAATAATACAGACATTGTTGAAGATTGAAGAAGACCAAAAACC